AAACTGCTACAAGTGTGAGCCGAGCTGGACCCTTTGCATCTTGAGTGGCTTCGTATTCCTTAGGAAAGCTTAACACACAAATACGCTGTGCAAAAGCCATGTATTCAGCTCTCTGCAAGCTGGTGAGATTGGCTTAAAAATAATGAGGTTTAAAAATAGAGTAAAATACATTTTGGGCAACTTTCATCCGCTCCTTGGCTTTGGAGTGGTTTTCAGTTTGGCTCTGGGGACCACTTCAATCCTATTTCCAAGTTCTTCTCTGTACCCTGGAGGGCCAGACATCTACTTGAAGAAATCAAATCAAATCAGAGATTGCCAGAAACCCCACAAAAATCCTGATGGTTTTTAAACCAAACAAAATCTTCACTCCAAATGGAAGCCCAGTCCAGCCTGACAACAAAAATCACAAGTTGGCAGTGCAGCCCTCCTAGCGCGGCATCCTTGCTGATTAGCGCTGCTGCCTCATTAACATGCATACTGTAATCTCATTTGCTCCAGGATTGCTTTGATGTTAATTCCAGCGTTTTGGTGCAGTGTGGTACTGCACTTTGCGTTTCCAGGCTAGCATCCCTCTCTTCTGCAGCCCAAGCCTTTTCTTTCTCTTGAGTCTACCCTTGCCGCAGCCACTAAAGCACTGGCCTCCGTCACCCTCCCAGTTTGTGGCTCTGCTCCCCTACCTTGCAGCCTGGCCCCATACTGGTTGTGCTCTGCTTTCCATATAATTTTCTCTCCCTGTAATATTTCATCCATCCTTTCATGTATTTTTTCCAACTCTCTGCACTTTTTCCCCAAATCCCATGACTCCTGGGTAGGACGTTCAGCCAGGAAGGTTGTCTGGGCTGGGGACAAGGGAAGGAAACCTGGATGCATCCTGCCCTGGGGGTTTGCTCTATGGCTCATGGACAAACCCGCTGAGCCCTGCTCCTGCAGCCTGGCCAGGCTGTGCTCCCTCCCTTCGCCGTGACGCTGGGGACAGCTTCGGAGCAGAGAGGACGGACAGACAGCACCCTCACAAGGATGTCTGCCAAGCCCTGGTCTTTCCACCCACACTCTCTGTTCCTGGGGCTGTTTTTACGGCTGGAGGAGAAGGACTGCAGGATGTCTGGTTGGAGCAGGAGCTCGGAACCAGCTGCCATCAGCCCAGCAGCAAGGGACCTGCTGCCCGTGCAACTGCCTCCAGCCACGGGGCCACAGCGGCCGCATGGGCTGGCACCCACAGCCCCAGGAGCTGGGGCGCTGGGCACGGGCTCCGTGTGCTCAGGGACAGCTCAGGGACGGCTCCAGAAGATGCTGTGCTGGGTGTGTGCAGGCACAGCCACACACACGCATCGTTAGAGCCGCTCCTGGGGACCACGTACCCCAGATGCCTTGCACCCCGCTCCCTCCCCGGGAAATACTGGCCTCCTCACCTGGGCGGCCCCGAGCTGGAGCACGGGACATCAGCACACCAAGCGTACACGGAGCAGTAAATCCTGTTTACTCCAGTAAGAAAATAAGCACAACAGTGCAGCACGACAGGGGCATCAGGGAGATGTCCTGCGAGGCGGGGGAAGGAAGTTTAATGCATGTCATTACGGAGAGCTGAGTTATCGAGAGAGCCAGACGTGTGGCCAGGGTCGGCTGGGGCTGGGGCTGCTGTAAAGAGGCTTCGTTCAAAGCGAGATGGGGACTTCACCTCCCTGCAAAAATCAATCATTTCCACACTTCTCAAATGTGGCTTCCAGATATCCCAGGCGTTTACGACTGCGAGGGCTCAGAGCTACCACCAAACACGGGCAGGCCAGGAAAGCGAGGCTGCTTTATTGTCTGGGAGATCAATGACTTTAATAATTAGCATCTTACTTACACATGATTTCTATACTCAATTTGAATCTTAATTAGAGATGGAGAGGGGGATTTAGAAACCATGATGTAGCACAACGCTGTGCCTTTCTCCTGCCGGCTTGGAGGAGGAGACCCTCTGACAGGACCCATGTCAAACCCGCAGCAGCATCGGGGACCTCACCCGGGTGCTGCTCCCTGGGGAGCTCTTGATCTCTCTGGGGAGGACGCCGGCGCTGGAGGGGTCCCACAGCCAAGTCACCTACACACCTGCTGCCCCAAAACACAGCTCCAGCCTGCAGGGACAGGGGCTGCCCGGAGGCTCACGCCCCTCATGTGCCCACCTGATGCACGTCCCCGGCTCGCGGGTGCCACGTGTCACCAAAACCTTCTGCTGAAGGGAGACGTGACCAGCCCTGGGGCCACCTCTCCTTTCAGGACCCTGCCGGGGACACGGAGCAGCCCTGGATGCAGCCGAGGCCGAAGGTGCCTGCCCAAAGCGCTCGGCAGCTGTAAAAATCCGCTGCCATTTAGGGACCAAGAAAGGGACCAGGGGGCTGTCAGCGCAGGCAGGCAGCTTGAAACCTCTCAGCCTACATGTCTTTACACGGGGACGTGCATTAAAAAAATGCGAAGCATTTGAAGCCCACCATTTTAATTAAACTGATTTAACATCTGAGCTTGCAAGGGGCACGGGGCTGGCAAACACAAAGGAGCTGCACAATCACTTTGGCTCTATTGTTGACGGGCTTTTGCTCTCTGTTTGTACAATAACCTATTGAACTTTTCCAGACTGTAATTCGATACAGAATAGATCCTTGCAGGAGGCTTTTTTGGCAGGGAGCACTGAAGGCCTTGAATCAATTTCACTTTTCCAGCGTGGCTGTTTAATGTATTGATACCAGCTGGAAAAAAAAAAAAAAAAAAAAAAAAAAAAAAAAAAAAAAAAAAAGAAAAATAAAAAGGAATCAATGTTACTTTTATTTGTCCTGAGCTGAAGCCTTTTGGGTCTGTTCTTTGTGACACTGATACCATGCAGCGTGTGGCTATTGTCCCACCTTCGCCAGGAAAAGCAAAGACTGTTAATGCGAAACAAGGCGGGTTTTTTTTGGTTTTTTTTTTTTTTTCCTCCGTAATACTTCCCGGTTTCGCAAAGGCTTAAAACATTTTATAGGAAAAGTCCAACCATTGCACCGCGGAAAGGCTTAGCTGGTTGTTCTAGTGATACTGAGACAATACGGGGCAACGCCTGGGGCTCTGGATGCGCAGCCAAGGTGATGCTGGGGACCAGGCATCGCCCCATCGCTGGGGCACGCACCCGGAGCCAGCACCGCCTGGCTCCAGCCAGGGCTCTGCCAGGTCCAGTTTGGTTTAAAACCAACCCAGGGAGCTGGTGCCGTGGTCTGGCAGCACAGCTGGATGCGGCCCTACGCGGGCCCTGTGCCGTGGCCAGCCGGACGCCCTCATCCCACGCGTCCTGGGCAGCAGCACGGGCACGTCTGTGCAGCCTCAGAGCAAGTGCAAGAGGAGGGAAAACGTCAAAACATCATCGTGGGCTGCTGCCGAGCCTGGGGTGGGCCCGGTGGCACGGTGCAGCCCACCACCACCCTCCCACACAGAAGGCTGAGGAGCTGGGGGGTGTCCAGAGTTCGGGTAACGTGGTGGGAGAGCGCAGGCTCCGGAGCAGGGGATGCGCCACGCACCAGAAGCACTCCCAAAAGACAAGGCTGTTAATTGTTACTTAAGCAATCAAGCTGTTTCCAGATTGCCTGGGGTGAAGCAGCGGTGGTGGAAGGTGTCTTACTGCCAGAGTGAGAAGTGGCATCGTCGGGGCCCCCCCTTTGCTGGGAAACTTTGGCTGGGAGTGTGAATGAAAACTGCGGGCTGCCCCGGGGCTGCTGGTGTGAGGGCAGAAACATGAAGCACCTGGGAGAGAAACCAGAGAATCCAGCGTGCAGAGGGAGAAAAAAAAAATCCCTCTTGGGTTGAGCCAAACTTCCAGACAAATCCAGGGAGGAGGAGTGGGATGATGGGTCAGCCCTACCCTGGGCTCCCAGGCATCCCTGTGGAGCCAGTGTGCCTTTTCCAGCTCCCAAAGAGCAGCATTTCCCCACGCCCCCCCCATCCCAGCCCTCCCCGAGCCATGCTGCCTGTGGAGGGTCTGGCCTCCACCCCGTGTGATTTATATGTACCTGCACCAACATGTTACATATGAACACGCACAGGCAGAGACAGGGGATGTGCTTGGTGACAACTGCCAGTTTGCCTAGGAAAAGGAAAGGGCCGGATTTCACAAGCCCTTAAGTGATGTAAAAGCACAAATCCCGCCGACTTACACTCTCAGAGCATTTTCCTGTTAGGATTTGCCCCAAATGAAGAGGAGACTGATCCCGCAGCAACTTAATCACAGGAAACAGGACGACTGTTTTGAAGGGAGTTACATTTGCTGAAGAGCTGCCCTGAAAATTTAGTCTCGGGTTTAAAAGGCAGCTGCTTGAGGGCCAGATAGAGCTTTCTGCCCTGCCATTTACCAGGGGGAGAGAGGGTAAAGCACGTGCCTAAAATATATATATATATATCTATTTCTGTATGTATCACAAGGTGTCTGTGCCTCCCTATCTGGTTAGAAAGCCAAGCCGTCCGATATTACTGCAGCGAGTCCTGCCAGGGGGAACTGGGAAACAAAGTCACTGCTTATAATTAGGTGCTGCAGGTGTAAATCTAATCTTCATTTAGAGCAATTTCTGAAAGACAAAGAAAAAAAATCCACCTGACGAGGTGCTGGTGAACCGTACGATGTACCTACAATTCCAAGACCCACGTCTCGAAATTGAGCTGGGAAAAGGGAAATAAATGGCAGGGGAGCGGCCGAGGAGGTGACACACACACACACACACACTCACACACACCTCGCAGGAGCCATCCCCGGGCAGGATGGGGCCGGTGGGGATTAAACCCCCAGGAGCATCCCCCAGGCAGCAGCCCCCTCCCTCCCCGCCGCACAGACGCGATGTTCGCCTGACCCTCAGCATCCCCTTACTCCCCCCGCCCCAAACTCCCTCCACTTATAAATCAGAGCAGAATTAATTCAGGCGCCGCGTTTTATTTGATAAACGTCAAAATATGTAAATACCGGGCTCTCTTCCTACAGTCGCTAAAACAAATGGAAAACACATTTATTAGCATAGAGATGAGTTTAATCAAATCAGCGGCGAGTACAAATTAGCCACAGGAAACGTAATGAGCTGGGAATTAATTAGCAGCATAATGGTAATAACTTTGCCTGCTGATTACCTTGCGGCCATGGCTCTCCCCCAGGGCTTTCCATGGGTTCTCCAACAGCTGATCTTTTCTGTTGCAGGAGCCCCTGAACTGGAACAGCATGGCCGACAGCTCCTGTGCAACAGACTGGAGGAGGGGAGGGAGGGAAAAAAAAAAAAAAAAAAAAAAAAAAAA